AGGCCACCCCCATCCCGCCGGAGGGAGCCTCGCTGAAGAGCCCCTCTCCCTTCCTCTGCCGCCTGGACCACACCAGCCACTTCTCGAAAGACTTCCTGAAGACCATCTGCTACACGCCCACCTCGTCCTCCATGAGCTCCAACCTGACCCGGAGCTCCAGCAGCGACAGCATCCACAGCGTCCGCGGGAAGCCGGGGCTGGTGAAGCAGCGGACGCAGGAGATCGAGACGCGGCTCCGGCTGGCGGGCCTCACCGTCTCGTCCCCGCTCAAGCGCTCGCACTCTCTTGCCAAGCTCGGAAGTCTTGACTTCTCCACGGAAGACCTGACCAGTGAGGCTGACCTGTCCACCATCGCCGACTCCCAGGACGCCAAGTCGAGCGAGGCCTCCTTCTTGCATGAGCCCCAGGCCGCCCCGCGGAACCCAGCCGCCCCCTCTAAACCGTCAGGGAAACCCGCCCCGGAAAACTTGAAAAGCTCCTCGTGGCTGAGCAAAAGCTGACCCGCCACCAGCTGATCACAATGACCCCTGCCTGAGTCTCACCACGGGTTTCAGTCAGCCCCTCACGTCTCTCGATTCCCCTCAAACAGTGGCGTTTAAGAACTCGCAGCCCGGGAGGAAAGGGGAGTGTCTGTTGTGTGGCCAGCAGGCTCTGAGCCCGAGTCATGCGTTTTCCAGGAGAATCGTGTCTGCAGGGCGTGTACAGACACACACACGTCCAACTACGCTGTTTGCAACGGGCACAGAACAGCTGTGGCGGCGGCCCCGTCGCCAGCCGCACGGTCCTAGCTCATTCAGCGCGCGTGGGAAAAGTCTTGGATGGCAATATAAGTCCTACCTCTGTTCTTGCTGTGCTTTTCATGTTTAAAATACAGTGATGCCCAAGGCTCATTCCAGGGAATACTGCTGTGTCAGAGAAAGGGTTCCCAAGGGGGAATTTTGTTGTTGAAAAAGGTGTTAGGATTTCTAACGTGACCTCACCGAGCCCTGCGAGGGAAAGGGATGCGAAGGTGTCGGAGGCTGTTGTGGAACCAGCTCTGAGACGTGGTCCTCTGTGCTGCCGACTCCTCGGTCCTGGCGTGTTGTTACAGCTAAGCGATGTGCGTCTGGCCCGCACTGGGGTCCAGAGGGGGAAATGTGCGTGATGTCCTCAGTTGTTGCTTGTGGTGGATTTCAAATTGCCCCCCATCTGGGGAGAAGGACCCAGCAGCACTGTTGGTCTCCTCTGCTGTTGAGCCCCGTGGCGGGGAAGAGGTGTTGACGGTGTCTGGGGGTCCGGGGTCCTGAGATGCAGGCTGTCCTGCCAGGGACCCAGCACTCAGGTTCATTCATTGTCACATCTGCTCGTGTTTGGGGGGAGAAAGAAGACCCAGTAGTGAGAAACGATTGGTTCCTCCCTAAGGGCAGCTTCTGTGAAAGAAACGCGGCTGTTGAATAGCTTCCCCATGTTTACAGTTGCCCCTTTGTGGCGGGGACACTGCCGCCCGCTTCTCTCTGGCGGCTCCCAGTGGGTGGACGGGGCAGGGGTGGGCCTGCGGTCCCAGCCGGCTCTGAGCAGCCCCGTTAAGAGTCAGGTGAGCTCGGTGCCTCATGCTGCCGCGGCTCTGAGCTCGAGTGGAGGGTCGTCTGGTGTCGGTCAGCACGACATCGGGATGTTAAAATAGTTTGAGAAGAGAGGAGGGGCTCGGGTAGAAAGGTTGAATTCAGGGGTCAGCAAACTGGTATATGGTCCCATGAGCTAAGAATGGTTTTTCACCCTTTTCAAGGAGTTATTAAAAAAATTAACTCATAGGCAACAAAGACCATGTAGCCTGCAAAGCCAAGATGTTTATTAGCAGGCCTGTGCATAAAAAGTTCGCTGACCCCTGGGTTTATTGGACAGCACAGGGCTACCCAGAGCCCTCTTGGGAGAAACTGGGCACATGTGAAAACTTCCGGCCTCATAACGCCTCAGGCCAAATCCTTCTCCCAACCCAGACCTTGCAGCCCACCCCCAGGGTGTCTCCTGCAGGCGGGTGGCTGTGTGTGGGTGGGACACTCCTGGCTGATCAGCCAGGTTACTTCAGTGAAACTAGAAAGCCTTCAAGGACCAGTCAGATTCTGAAAGTGGGTGAATGAGTTGCCACCGGACATTGGTCAGAATGGGACCCCCGACAGCCGCCATTCTAGAAGCACCAGGCAGGGTCTTCGGGAACCAGGCTAGTCCATATTTCAACTAGTGCGAGAGTTTTGTTTTTGTTTTTTTTTGCAAAAACCCTCTCTCCAGGAACTTTTTCTTCCTGACCGTATCCTTTTAATTTTTTAAAATATATGTTATTTTACTTTATAGGAATTTATTTTTCCCATTCACTGAAATCACCTTTAAAGGTGATTATTCACTTTCCCCCAAAACCCTGTTAGGTTTCTCTCTCTCTCTCGCTCTCTCTCTCTCTCGCTCTCTCTCTCAGCCAACAAAAGCATATTCTCAAAAAAAGAAAAAAAATCAAGTCCAATATGTCTTGCCAAATTAAATTTCATGTGGTGGATCAATTTTTGTGTCAAAATAATCCTTTAGGTTTGGTGATTTCAGGCTGTTTTGCTTTTTAAAAACCATGTGTATGAGAGTGATTTATTTTTGAAAACTTTGATTTTGAAAGCCATAATTTTTCTCATCCCATGAAAGGGTGGGAGGAGGATGACAAGTCTGAGTGGGTTTTTGGCTTTTGTCAAAACGATCGGTGCATTTTCAGAAGCACAATTTGTATATTAACATCAAAACCAGGGCCCCATCCTCAGAGCAAAATGAAGAGACATTCTTGACCCACAGACCCAGGTCAGCTGCGTGTCGACATCTGGCAAATTGCTCCCTGAAATATACTGACCAGAGCATCCTGCCAGGCGGGAGGCGGGGGGCACCTTGGCAGACAGGTCATCAGGTCATGCTGCTCTCTGAAGGGAAGTTTTGCCCCCCTAAGATGCACAGTATCCTGATCGATGTTCTGTCTGTAATCTTAGCTGGTGGGGAAGATTAAGGCGGGCGGCACAAGCGAGAGGCAGGGTGCGTGCTCTGGAAGTCCTGGACATCAGTGACTGCCCCCTTCGTGGAAGGCCGTTTTCAAATTAGGAGAGAACAGACATTTTCTCAGCTTCGTTTCATCTTCCACCTGACCTTCCCCCCGCTTTTAGTCACATGGCACGCCAAAGGTTCGGGGGAACTAGATCTTCCTGTTGCACTGGTCCAGGGGGGTCACCTGGCCAGGAGTTGTTAGGTATAAGGGGGAAACTGATCCTGGAGCGAGGGGATGCCGCTCGGACAATGTCAATTTCCATTTCTTTGTCTTGGAGCGACGTCTGTCATTGCGTGAGCTTCCGAAGAACAGGGTTCTTCTTACTCGTGCGATTTCCCTGCCTCCTTGGTCTCGGACCCCTGGGCTGGTGACAGCTCTCTGCCAGGAGATGAGACCCTGTCCACCTGGTGTGCAGGTCACTCACCAGGCCCTTGGGTGGCTGCACTGTCCAACCCCCTTCTAGCCACCCGCCCTCACAGCTGAAAGCATTCCAGCTCATCCCAAAGCCTCTTCCCTCACGGGTATGCCCAGAGGATGCCCCAGGATGGAGCCAAGCTTGCAATAGAATTAACACTGAGAGGACAGCCCTGTACCCTGGCGGTCTTGTCTCTCCCCACAGGCCCGATCCTAGAAGGTAGAGGAAGCCCCCTGCTCCCCCGGGGCTGTTTCTATTGGGAACAAACGCTGTATCATTTAGTCAAGATCATATAAGTCACCTCCCCCAAGGTGTCCGAAGAGGGACTTGCTCTCTGTTGCCTGGAAATGCTTGACGCCGGAATACATTTCACCCAACCCTCCCCTGGCTTCCCACCTAACAGGGCGCCTGTTTCACCTCTGGCCGTGGAGCCAGGCAGGCTGGGAAGATGGTGACATCTGGACAGCGCGGTGCAGGGCCACCCGCTCTGGTCCCACCCCGCAGGCTCTCACTGACGCTGCTTGCCAAACCAAGGTAGTTGATTGACCCCCACGCTCAGCTACTGGTCTTTTTATTGTCTGCTCTGCCATGGAATGCCTGTTGTGTTTGAGTTCACTCTGCATATATATATATATATATTTGGATATAGATATATATATATAAACTTGAATCATATCATGTGCATCACTTCTCATTCACACACGCACCGTCCCCACGCTGTGAGGCGGATCCCCTGGGGCGGTCTGGAGTGAAGCTGGGTGGTGCCACACCCTCGGTAGCTCCGGACAGGACGGCCCTGTTCTGGTCCTGGAGGAGGTGCCGCGGCCCTGGCCTCGGCCCTGACACGGGGGAGGCTCCCCAGCCAGACCCCCCCAGTGCCCTGCTGTCCTTCCTGTTGGCTGTGCTGCGCGAGGAGGTGGCTGCTTCCCCCCCCTCCTTGGACACTGTAATTATTGTTTTACAATTGAGTGCCTTAATCATAGTTTACAAATACTGTGTATTTATGGGAAAGTGCTAAGCTCTCACCTTCTGTGATTGGATACCTGGCCTTGTCCGTGGTGGTTGGCGTTCGGGCTGGAGCTCGCCCTGCCCCGTCCTTGGCACTTATCTGCTGTGCAGTCTCGCGCGCCCGTGCACCCACACCTGTCCGAGGAGCGTGGCTCGAACCGGCTCTGGGAGTCCCTGCAGGCGAGGCCAGCTCTGGCCCACGCCTCGCGCGTCCCGTGATGGTGAGGGAAGGCTAGAACTTGGGGTGCTGGCAGCTGGGGGTGCTGACGGCAGCCCAGCCCTCACCCGTTTCCCGGTCACACAGCTGTCCTCTTCTTTCACAGAGGTTTTCATCACCGCCTAGGCCACCCTGTTTTCTTCTCTGTTGGTGTCCTGAGCTCTTTGCAACAAAATGCAGGTACAGACACCCTCCCCCCACCCCCCCACCCCAAAATCAGGAGCTCCACAAGATGGTTGCCCTTTGGTTTTCAGAAGCTGCCAGTGGGTTCCAGCGTGTTGTGTAATGATACCAATTTTTTTTATTATATTGTTTTTTTATAGTATATATTTAAAAGGCAGTATCTTTTGTACTGTGAATTTGCAGTAGAAGATGCATAATGCACTTTTTTTTTTTACTTCTGTTGGTGTGTACTGTATATAGTCCGTGTGCTTCTTGTGATGAAAATAAACGTTTTCTTTATAAATGCCTGATGACCTGTGAACTTGTGCAACAGGAAACCGCCTGCTCCACCCTTGCCAAGGTAGTCAGATGCGTCTGCATCACCGCGATGGCCGGGCTTTCCTGACCACCTACTGTGTGCCCGGCCCCACGCCAAAATCCTGGACAGTTTAGACCCAAGAAAGACTCAGGGGAGGAAAGAGCTCCTGCAGGAATTGTCTTTTCCCCTGA